AGACTATACTTTCTAACCCCTGTTTAAGCCCCCCAGACCATTTTTTATTTCTGGCGACAGATAAGCACTTGCACACATACAAACACACAACACATGCCCACCTTCATGCACTCATTCTCTAAACCCTGTGTAAGTATGCCTGAAACTACTGGTTAGGGCAACACTTGTCACACACAAAGGAAAAGTCCTCCAGCTCCTCTACGGTTAAATTGGATGCTGACTTTGTGCAGCTTGTGTGCCACCAAGAATCACAAACTTCACAGGCTACCAACAGATCAGCCTCATGTCTTTTTGCAGCGCACCCTTTACATTTGTCATTCGATTCACCATATTCATCCTCGACACTTTCCTCTTCATCTGCTTCTCTCATGATCTGTTCCACTTCCCCCTTCACGTTTTCATCCTCGTCGCTGTCACTTCGCTTTCTTTTCTTCGGAGCCCCCCTTTCTAACTTCTTCAGCAAAGCCTGGTCTTTCTTCTCCTGCCATTCGCCCTGCATCTCTGCTGCCTTTTCCTGCCTCGCCACTTCAGTCATCTCCCTCCCAAGTCTCCTTTCCCAATTTTCTCTACTCTGCCCAGCCTCCTCTTCTCTTGCTGTCTTCCTAGCCAACTTTTCTTTCTCTTGTTTCTCTCTGGCACTCTCCTTCAATCTGATGGCTTCCCTGCGCTCTGCCCCACTCAGCACATTCTGCATCCTGGGTGCTGCTTTTTTCATCTTCTTTTTTCCCTTGCCAGAAAAGTTGGGGAGCCTGAGGATGTCATTGGAGGTCAGGGGCGCTCTAGACTGGGTGGTAACTTCAGGAATCTCAAATGAAGATTTTAAATTGGCTGCAAGCCTTTTAAATTGCATGAACCCCTCGTGGTTCTCTGTGGTGTCTCTTGTGAGGGCTTGATGACACCTCAAGAACCCATTCCTCCCGAGGTCGTCCACAACAAAAAGGGTGAAGTTTCTCATCGCCTCCAACTGTTTGACGGTGTACGCACTTTCAGGCTCTCGGGCTGCGCTTTGTTGGGGAGTTGGGGCTGAGGTTTGGAGTCCACTGCACGTCGGTTCTGGGGGCGTTGGCCCCCGACTTTGAGGCCGGTTTGAAATATCTTGGACGGGTGAAACTGCCAGAGGATCAAATGGAGATGGTGGCATTGGCTCAAATGGAGATGATGGCATTGGCTCAAATGGAGATGATGGCATTGGCTCAAATGGAGATGATGGCATTGGCTCATCCTTGATTGCATCAGGAAGCTGAGAATGTGCCACAGGCGGGGCAAGGACTGGGGGCGGAGACGTTGAAGAAGCCACAGGCCCGGTGGAGAAAAAGTCTCGAAACACCTGGCTGGGCAGCATCTTCTTGGTGAGAAGGACTCTCTCCGGTGAGAATGGAAAGATGCCAGCAGCCCTGAAGCTGGACTCTGCATTGGCTTTGGTAGCACAGCTTTGCCAAACAGGCTGGAACACTTTGGCGAAGGAGTCCAGGCCAACGGCATTCCCTGTCTCTGCCATGTGGCGCCTACTGGCTGCGGACCACGCAGATTTAACTGAACCAAAAAATGCCTGGTCCAAAGGTTGCACGAGATGGGAGGCGTGCGGCAGGAGGCAATACAGGATGACCTTGTTTTCCTCACAAATTTTGGAAATCTCCACAAGAGCTTTGTGGCTGACGTGGCCATCAACAAGCAACAGCAGTGGCTTTTCTATCTGTTCAGTTGCTGGGATAAAGGAATCCCTCAGCCATGTGAAGAAAATGGCCGAGGTGATCCGTCCATTGTCGGATACCTGCAAAAAAGTATTTTAGCTGCGTATTATGCACCAGAACACCAACTTGTGAAAGAACATTTTTAATTTGGTAAATTTAATTTCTTTGTCAATAGTATGGAGGCTGTGGATAACTTATAGCATTTGTATACTTTTTAAGAATATTTTTTAACCCTATCCGTACGCCCTGGGGTCATTTTGTACCCTTGGGACTGTATTTTTCACATTTTAGAATACATCTAGTACGAAGATCTCTTTGAAACTTTCAGTATTTCTCAAAAAATCATTTTGACAGACTCCTATGCAAAGAGTACGGATTAAAGAGAAAATTTCCTCTGTGAAAGTGGTGGCACAGAGTTCCCCACATCGCATGGATACGATAGTAAAACTCGACATACAGATAGGGTTAAAAAGTATAACACTTCACTTCATTATTTTAAAATGTAAAACAGGTCTCACTGGACAACTATAACCCTTCATTATCTTAAATTCTAGAAAAGCGTAGTGGGTGGTTGGCAGATGCTGTGGTGTGGTTTGCTCCTTCTTTCCTATCAATCAAACATCTATCGTCCTTTTCTCTCCTACTTCTTTTTTAAGTTCGTTACTCTCTAGTAACGCTTCTAATCTCCGACACTTGCATGACCTACTTTGGGTGCTGTAACTCTTACTAAACTAAAAAACAAAAGTAACTAAAAAAGTGTCAGAGAACAACTGAACAATTTTCTGACCTGCAGCAAAGATTCAGGGAAACTTTCCAGTAGATTTTTGCCAGGTATCCGTTTGTACGGGTAGATCAGCAACGGCGGCAGATACAACCCCGCAGCGTTCACGCTGGCCAACACTGTGACCTGTGTCTTGCTGTTTGCAGACAACGCTGTGTACACCGTCTTGGCCCCTTTGAATGCAATCACCTAAGGGAATACAGCGTAAAAAATTCCCTTTAATAGTGCTAAAAGTCAAACTCTATCTTAAGAACATACACATTTTTATGTGGCGTGAAGAAGTTTTCTCTTACATGTGCATCAGTTTAACGTGAACTTAATTTATTATTGTGGTTCAATCAAAATAATAGTTTCCAGATATATCATCTCTGATAAAACAGGGAATATATATATTATATATATATAATTTTTCATATTTACAAACAAGATCATGTTAAGTTCGCTAAATAGAGTGAGTTCATAGCTGAAACAGATCCTTTTGAGCTCAAAGTAGATGTAACCAGGCCGATTCAGCAGTTACAATGAAATAAGAATCAAAATATTACATCTATTGATCTACCTTTAGAGGACACAACATTTATAAGTCAGCGATGAAACATACCTTTCTTGATTTGGGATCGAAACTGAATCCACTCTCATCTGCATTGAAAATGCGAGTTGGGTCGCACAAAAGGGTGGGGTCCAGGGCATCCACGTGGGTTTTCAAGTCGTGAAACCATCTCTCCACATTTGGGGGAGTCACGAGGGCTCGCTCCTTCGCCAGCGACATCGGCGTCCTGAGGGAGAGCTCTGAGTGGCGCTCCAAGAAACGATAAACCCATGCCGGGGAGGGGAGATTTGAGGGGTCTTTTGTGGTCCCCCCACTTAGTTCCATGATGGCCTTTGCCATGACCCTAATGTCGTCAGTGGTCTGCCCAAAACCCAGCTTAGACATCTTCAGCAACCACTGTACCAATCGTTCTTCCTCGTGCTGGGTGAGCAAGCTGTGAGGCACATACTCTATCGGTGACTTGCCATGCACCTTGTCCGAAAGGGTAGACACTGCAATGCCAAAATGCTTGGCCGCCTTCCTCAGCCCCATGGCTTTTGAACGAACGGCCTCAATGGCCGTTTCAAGCACAGCGACATCATGCTTTGCCTTTTTCTTCCCCTTTGGTGTTGGAGCCATTGTCTGGGGATATAGACGCACACTTTATTCAAACACCCCCAAACAATGATTTAATGACATTTTATATAGATTCTAGCTGCTGAGATTTCACATTGAATGACTGATTTTAACTTCTCTTTTAAATTATATAAACAATATATATATATATATATATATTTCATTGAGAGTATTGCACATTTCCCTTGTTAAATCATCATCATCATCACCGCTACCACCATCACCATCAGCAGCAGCATTGGTGGCAGCGGCATCATCATAACAACCATGGCAATCTTCTATACTCTCAAAAATTACAAAACAATGTCTGTCAAAATCATACCACTGTTTCTGCCTCCATAAGAACCTAACAATAACTATAGAGTCTAACACTTTAAATATTGTATTCATATTGTATGTCTTTAAACACTTTAAACATTGTATTCTTCGCTCACTAATATTCAGCACCAAAATCAGGACACAGGGCAAAAAGAAAAAAAATTATTATAAAAGTTTATCACACATTCTAGATTACAATAAAATGCAGGATTCGAGAATTCTACAGCCAAACCATTTATAGTTAACATCTGAGCTGAAGGTGTGCGGACCCAGGAGAAACATGAGACATCTTCTTCATCGGTCCGTTAAAAAGAGTAAGGAAATAAGCGCCATTATAGAGCGTTTCGTGCACTAATATTCAGATGCATAAATTCTACTGCACAAAAAAACCCCCAATAAATCGGAAGGACAAGAGAGGGCAGGTACTCACCGATTTCTAGAATGAAATTGTTCCAAAGAGTTTTTTTAAAAAGACGCCACGTTATTTTTCTTGCAGCGGAAGGAAGTAGAAACATCACTTGAGGTAATTTTAAAGGTTGAAATTGCCTCATTTCGTGCACGAAACGAAATTATAAAATGTGGGTCACCAAAAATGGGCGGAACGAAAACGAACGACTAAGTGTACGGACATCGTAAATCTACCCTATGTGAGATCGGTCCAATGCAGCAAAATTACCCAATGAAACGACATCACAATGATGTAGGGTAGACTTAATATCGGCATTCTCCAGTTTTGGCCTCAAGTGTAGTACTGACTTAAATATTCGGTATCGATGTTTTATCCGAACGAGAGCGAGAGACCCGCTGTTATTTTCCAGTACAAAATGAGCAGATATTTCACTTGTTTAAAACTAAAAAGGGGGGTTTTTAGCCTGACAGGCACAAAAACATATGGGGTGTCAGGGGGGCATTTATTGAACCACAATTTGAAGTTTTGCAGTTAGGTTTGATATCTCTCCATGGCATCAGAATGCGCATAGAAAAGTAATCCTTTAGAACCAGAAGTAATCGTCGGTGGAGCCAAAACCCACACTCCATATATAGTTATCGGTATCGTTGGGGTCAAAACCAAAAACTGGATTATCCCGACTAATCATTTTAACATAAAGGCCAGCTTTATAATTCGGACCAGTCCGATTCGATTTTTTTATCTATTTAGACTCGAGTCCGAAAATGGGTTTTACTTATTGGGACTCGGCTTCTACGTGAGTGTAAGGGGCTTACATAATATAACTGTCGTCTGGGGGATTTTACGTACAACCAGAATTAGAACTAGAATTACTTACGAGGACTGTGTAACTGCACTGTCATTGCCTAATAGCAGTGTCTAGGTACACGGTAACCGACAACTCAGGGTCTTTCCACCACCACTACAGCGTCATCATTACTTCCACCACCATTTGTCTTTCCACATGTCTATTTCATTTTGTGTGTTATAGGCCTTGATCTTCTGTAATTCATTTTTTTCCTTTTAATCACATGATCAAGATTCTAGGCCTAGATTCTATTCTAACGTGTACTGTAAACTCTCTTCTCTCTTCAGCTCAGTACTTTTGTTCTCTTCTCTTACTTGAGCCTAGACTTGACTGTAGCCTAGACCTATATATCTAGATCTGGAATCTACATCTAGATCTAGAAGAAAAAAGAATCGAAAAGGTTTTCCACCTGTCCTGTATCATGGTCTCCAAAATCCGTATATTAGATCTAGATCTACGTTACGACTGAATAATTAGCAAGCATAGAATGATAAAACCCTTTCTTTTTAAAAAAATTATATATTCCACTCACACCATAATCTACTTTAGTTTAGTTAGATCTAGAATCTAGAATCTAGATCTAGATTAGATATGTGTAGTCTAGTACTAGATCTAGTATAGTAACCCATCATCATCATGGCCACTAGTAGACTAGATCCCCATAGTCAATAGATCTAATGGACCTGTACGTTTGTTCTCAGTGTCACTGGGAATAGTTTCTGGGCCGGTAATTGTTTACTTACTTGCATTTAATTCTGGGGAGGACTTCCGGGCACTTCTTTGATATGGTGGTCCCGACTTTGGTGACAGGGAAATCCACAGAAAATCTAGAATCTAGTTTTGACCCCAACGACGATTACTTCTGGTTCTAAGGCTAAACGATTACTTTTTAATGCGTGTGCTGATATGAAGAGATAGCCTTTCAAACCTAATTGCAAAACATCAAATCGCGGTCAAATTCAGGGGGGGGCATGCCCCCCTGAAACACCCCATGTTTTTTTTTAAAGAGAGTGTATACAGACCAGGTAACCGGGAACAAAGTCACAAAGTATACAGACCCGGTAAGGGAACTCTTTTGTGATTTCGGAAAGTTTCAGTGCCCTCTTGGCTCAGGGTAGACCTAGGTTCTTCTAGATCTATGGCCCAGGTCCAGATCTAGACAGACACAAATCATTGATCTACTTTCGAGGCTAGACTAGATCTAGATTCTAGATCTAAATGAAGATTGCGGACGTCTTTTCGATGAACGATCGTTTTTCCTCTGTTTTGGAGTTGGAGGAATCACAATTTGAAGAAAAGAACAATGTCTCTCTCTCTCTCTCTCGTCTCGTCTTTCTCTTTCGTCTCTCTCTCTCTCTCTCTCTCACACACACACTACCGGGTCTGGGTGCTGAAACTTTCCGAAATCACAAAAGAGTTCCCATACCGGGTCTGTATACTTCGTGACTTTGTTCCCGGTTACCGGGCCTGTATACACTTCGTTTTTTTTAAGTCAGGGGGGCAACATAAAACATTGATACGGACAATTTAAATCAGTATCGATATTTCAGTAGGCCTGCACAAAAGTCGGGACCACCATATCCAAGTTGTGCCGACTTCCGTAACGAGCGACCACTCTGAACTCTATCATGAAATATTACATTCAATGGCCATAAAAACCAGTACGGACAGAAGGCCTATTTAAGCCAGTATGTTAAGTAGATTTCTACCTCTACAAATTATGAAATTGCTGTGGTTTAAGTATTCTTAACTCCAGCGCAAAGTTTTGAATCAGTGGGAGATGCATGGCATAGAGTTTCCTCTAGATATCTAGATATAGATCTAAGTCTAAGAGCAGCCAGAATTAAAAGCGAGAAAGTAAACAATTGCCTCTTGGTCTAGAAAGTGGCTATCCTCACCCGGGGTGAGAATAAAAAATACGATCGACCTTTCACCCAGGGTGAGACTTGCCACCGTTGGCTATTCTCACCCGGTGTGAAACAAGACCTGTTTTTCCTAATTTCGGAATACTTTCTATCGGTGTGGATGATCAAATGGAAAGAAAAAATTACGTTATGGCACAAAAGTAAGCTAATTTGATCGTCTACAAAGATGCTATATGGCTATTTCCAGAGCTGGTTGTAACGGAGTACAAGTACTCCGGTACTTGTACTTGCGTTACAATTTTCGGTACTTTTACTGTACTCCGGTACATTTTTGAAAACAGTACTTTTACTGTACTCCGATACTTTTTATAAAAGTACTTTTGAGTATTTTTCAAGTACATTTTGAGTACTTTTGAAGCTTAACAAAAGGGTAAGTGCCAGCATTTCTGATACTAATTTACGGAACAAACACCCGGGCGGGCACAGCCGATCAACCAAGAGTTAAAAGTTGAGATCAAAGAACGGCCCGTCCCGTCAAAGATCAGCCACTATCGTGAATGTGATCACAAGCGTTGTAAAACTCCATGAAACGGTACAGTGTTTGCTCCAGACGGGATCACACCAAGGTGTGAACTGACCGATGCGCTTCTCTTCCCCAAACATCGCACTCGCATCTGAGCTCACCACCTAAACTTACATCATTCACTGGGTGGGTAGGGCCTACAAGTTCGCTCCAGGCGGGATCACATCAAACTGTGAACTCTTCCCTGACCATTGAAAGCAGTTTTTCTCTATTCCCGAATTTGCGAGACAGCCTGAATTTTAATTGGTGTGGTCACAACGTGATGGTGCGTAACGACAAAGTAAAGGCGGTTTGGGGGGGGGGGGGGGGGGGACTCGATCAGAGATGGAAAGCTAAAATTGAGCAACTGGATAAACGTAGATAAAGATCTCAAGACACGCCATAGGCTAATGAGTGTGTATATATTTATTTATGGCATGCCTCATGCCACTGTGATTGGTCATCAAGGTTGACCACTCGTTTGCTCGTCATATGTCATAAATCCACCCAGGGGTCACGTCAGTTCATGGGTCACTGTAGATTCTTCCTTGGTTTCGTCGGCTGAGATCTCATAATAATTATTTTTCTTTCTTCCGAGCACTGGGATCTTAGGCGGAGACTACTGTAGTAGAGAATCTTTGGTTACACTACACTTACTAGACTCTAGGAAACTACATGTATTTTGGTTTTCCGTGGGCGCCGTCGACTACACAGGGTGACCAAAATCTGTATTACCAATTATCAATTGAAACAGAAACGGTGTTCTCAATGTATATCTAACAAATTTTTAGGCTGCCTAAATTTCGTTTAAACTTTTATTTTTTTGGTTTTTGCTTAAGCTGCAATGATTCCTTGAGGATTTGTTCATGAAGAATTCAATGCACTTTTCCATTTCTATGCTGGCCATTTTCATTAATTTTATGTTTTCTTAAGAGCAACTTTGTATCTACATTTTCCAATTTGGATAAATACAATGTACTTTTTCTGTAGAGCTTTCCGAGCTCT